ACATGATTTTACATAAAAATATAAATATTATATAACTGCAAGCTTCCATGGTAGATCAGTAGTAGCCTGCCCTTAGAATCTTCTTAGCCATCGTATGTCCGCTCGAGTGGGTGCCAAAGGTGCCATTATGCAGTTCAGCCATGATCTGTTCAGCTTCAATCTTGTCCACACAACGAAGCAGAACACAATCATGAATGCGCTTGTACAGGATACCATTGCTCAGGAAGAACTTGGCAGAGAATCTTCTTAAGAACTTTTTGTCGTTGAATGAAGCTCCTTCAGGGTATTCTCGAGTTTCGAGATACCTTTTGACTTCGTGAAACCAGGGTCGGTCCACTACTTCTTCGGTATTAATCTGGTGAAAATGTGTAGGTTCGTCCATCCTCTCAATGGTGATTTGGGGAGCCTCATTATCCCAGTTAAGTTTAAACATGGAGGACATTATAGCTAGCGCATCTGCTAGCTGATTCTCTTCTCACGGGAAGTGCTCGAAGTTGATCTGCTCGAAATGCGATAACAATGCCAGGACATGTTCTTTGTAAGGGATGGGGTTAGGGTGTTTAGTATCCCACTCTCCTTTGATTTGACTGATAACCAAAGCTGAGTCCCCAAATACAATCAAAGATTTGATTCCCAAGTCAATAGCAGCCTTGAGACCAAAGATACAAGCTTCACTTACTTTATTCTCGTGTTGATTCTTAACCGCCCAACATTTTGTCGTGCAACATCACAAGTCTTACCGTACTTTAGCCTCATACAACATCACATGTTTTTCCCGCAGTCCAATAAAAACTTTCCTTCAGATTAAGCGATACTTTGTGTCACATAAATCATCGGAAGCCCTTCTCCATTTCAAAACTTTAATACAAACAATATAATAACTAATTCGAAAAATGAACTGCAAAATCAAAGTTGAATCTAGAAGATGTTGAAACCCTATAAATCTTAACATTCCATTTTACTAAACAAACAAATCATGAAGCTATGATTCACATAAACAAAATCGGAACAACAAAATCAAAATCAAAAAACAAAATAACAAAAATCAACACGATAGTTGAAGAAGCGTAAAGGAGTGAAACAAGCAAACCGTACCGCTATCACCGATTAAGAGAAGTTTAATCAGGTAATCATAATCAACACGAGATCTAGTAGGAGGAGCAGCCATCGAAGCAAACAATCACCAATCCCTCTGCGAGCGTTAATCTACAATCATAAAAGTGGAAATTTTTCAGAAATTGAAAACATGTTTATATGATAATGATAAGAATAATGATGATAATGGGTGAAGTGGTGAATGGAAGATTGAAGAGAAAAGTGGAAATACCAAGAGCAGAAGAGGAAGAGGAAAGGTAAGATCTAAAGGGGAAATGGGAGAGAATGAAAAGAGGGAAAGCGTGTAACGTCAGCACCGGTCGGGCGTTGAATTGAATTGGGGAAAGGGTTTCATCTTTTTTTTATAATAACAAGTGTTATACTTTTATTTCTAATTTTTTAAATAATGAATAAATTATTATCTATTTGATTCTAGAGAATCATTGGATTCAATTTTGTGTTTTAGTTATCAGGCCTGGTCTTCTTCTTGTCAACAACAGATTTCTTTGCAGCCACAAATCCTAGACCATACATGTTTCCTGCATTTTGTCCAGCCTGAAGGATTTCTTCCAACTTGTCAGTTCCATTTGTTAACTTCTTGACAAACTTAGTCATCTGATCAAGTTTGGAGTTCAACATTAGAACTTCACCTTCGAGATGACTTATAGTAGCAGTGTCTGCCTTCTTCTCACCCTCCAACTTCATTATGAGCTTTTTCTGTTTCTCATTTTGCTGACAGACTTCAGCATTTCTGATACATAGCTTCTTGTAGGAGTCAGCAAGTTCTTCAAATGTCACTTCCTTATCACTAGAATCATTATCAGAGTTACAAACACCAGACAGTGCAGTAACTAGTTTAGCAGATTCTTCTTCAGAGTTACTTTCTGAGTCACCATCAGACCAAGTAACAGACATTCCTTTCTTTTGTTTCCTTAGAAAGGTAGGACATTCAGCTCGAATGTGCCCATATCCTTCACATCCATGGCATTGGATTCCTCTGCTTTGATTTCCCTTTTCTTCAGACTTAGTTCTTCTGCTGGAGTCATAGGATCTGCTAATGTCAGAGGAAATGTTTTTGACATTTGACCTTGACTTTGGGTCCATTCTCTTGATGAGTTTGTTGAACTGCCTTCCAAGTATAACTATAGCTTCTGATATATTCTCTTCATCACTCTCCTTGCATTCATCTTCAGTATTGGATACAAGGGCTATGCTCTTGTTTTTCTTGTCAACATTGTCACTGATCCCCATCTCAAATGTGTGAAGTGACCCAATGAGTTCATCAACCTTCAAGTTGCAGATATCCTGAGCTTCCTCTATAGCAGTCACTTTCATTGTAAACCTTTTAGGAAAGGATCTGAGAATCTTTCTCACCAGCTTTTCTTCTGACATCTTTTCTCCCAATGCTCCTGAGGTGTTGGCAATTTCCAAGATGTTCATGTGAAACTCATGAATGGTCTCATCTTCCTTCATCCTTAGATTCTCAAATTTGGTAGTGAGCATCTGAAGTCTTGACATTTTTACTTTGGATGTACCCTCATGGGTGGTTTTGAGAGTGTCCCAAACATCCTTGGCCAGTTCACATTGATGTACTAGTCTGAATATGATTCTATCAATTCCATTGAACAAGGCATTCAAAGATTTAGAGTTACCCAGGGCTAACTCTTCTTCTTCTTTGCGCCATTCTTCCTCAGGTTTCAGACTAATCGTCCCATCTTTCCCAGTTATGGTGGGATGGTTCCATCCTTTGTCAGCAGCTCTCCAAGCTTTCTTGTCCAGTGACTTCAAGAAGGCAACCATACGAGGTTTCCGGTAGTCATAGTTTGATCCATCCAGAATAGGTGGTATGTTCCCAAATCCTCCTTCCTTGTCCATAGCGCCAGAAAATAATATCCCTAGATCTCACCCAGAAAGACAGGCAGGGTGCCTGCTCTGATGCCAATTGAAATTCTGGCAACAGATACTTAATGTCATAGTGAATGTTATGACACCGTATCTGACAAATTATACACAAACCAAACAGTAATTTAAAAGATAGTAAAGAACACGATCAATTGTTAACCCAGTTCAGTGTGTAACAACACCTACATCTGGGGGCTACCAAGCCAGGGAGGAAATTCACTATAAGAGGTATTAGTTTAGGAATAAACCAACCAGTTTATCTCCTTCACTTAAGACCTACCCAATGCAACTTCAATCTAAGTCCTACTTAAACCTGAGTTCATACTCACTCCCCCTCAATCACAGCAGTGATACTAATCTACTGATTAATAAGATTATAAAGACATTCTTCAATACACACACTTGATTTTGCTTCAAAGCTTTAATCAAGAGACACAACACTCGTGCTTCAAAGCTTTGAGTGATAAACAACCCTTACAACCAAATCCTACTCCAAGTCACTTATCAAGTGATAATTACTTGGCTCACAGTAGTTACTAAAACTATCACAACTATACAATGCCTTATTGATCTTCTCTCCAAGCGCTGCTCACCATTAGGCTTCGTGAGAAATATATATGCAGTCTATTCTTCATTTTTGGGCTTCCATAAAAATAGCTAGGGTTAACCAAAGTTAACCTAAAGACTTGGTCTTGGACTTTCATCATAACAGATTAGGGTTAAGCAAGATTAACCTAAATATTCACATGAGCATCTGATCTAGTCAATATACTTCAACTCAAAATAGCACACGAGATTCCTGAAAAATCTCTGGAACAATAAATCTGCACAACAACTTGATCAGTACAGGATGTCTTAACATTGGTTATGACATCATGTATCTTGCTCATTGATTTTGGTAGAATTCAGTATATATGATCATAGCTTAATCATCATGATATTCACTCATACTGAGTTTTCCTGTAGAACATTTCTTCTGCAGAATTTGACTTTATCCTAGAATGTTATGACATCAGTCATGACATTCGCAAATCTGGTTTTACCAAAAATTAATGCCAACAAGCAAACACTTACAAGGTGGACAAGTGGTGTGTCTCTCACAAAAGTGCATACTCCTCAAATTTGTATCAATGCTCCTAGTAACTCCCCCAACAAATGATATCATGAGCCTTTGGTTCGAGAAAGGGATTGTGTTACTTGTATGGAAGAGCGTTCAGGAAGAGGTGTTCTGTTGCAAGGTGTCAACGGCGGTACAAGTGTGAGGGGAAGCATTGTGAACTCACACTTGAGGGGAGTATTAGAATAATAATGCAAGTATGAGTAAGTGGGAAAAATAGTCTCACATTAGATAGGAATATGAAGACTTAAGCATATATAAGTGGGAGAATCCACTCACCTATTACCTTAAAATTTTAGATGGACAATTGGTGTGTCTCTCACAAAGGTACATATTATTCAACTTTGTATCAGTGCTCGTAATAATTCCTCCAACAAAAAATAATATCATTGGGTTTATATGTTTTATCGAAGAGGTATCATCCACGGCAGAAACCACCTAAATAAAGTAGAGGTGTTTTACATTTCTATTGGTTTTTGTTTTTATTTTCTCATATATATATATATATATATATATATATATATATATATATATATATATATATATATATATATATATATATATATATATATATATATATATATATATATGAATTCACCTAATGATGGTTAAAACATCATCACTGAGTAGCAACGAAGATGTATTAATTTTTTAGTACATAGCAACGATGATATTTAAATAACACATAATAGTTACCTTCCACGCTTTCATTTTTTGAAATTTAAACTCATCATCACATATAAATAGTGATAATGTATTTATACATGATTTTACATAAAAATATAAATACTATATAACTGCAAGATTCAACGTAACAACAAATATTGTTGACATTATTTTATTCATGAAATTTTCTAATTAGAAGATGTATCTCAGCTTCATATTATTAGTTATGAGTATTGTCCTTAGTTTGCACAGCAACTGCAGCACCACGGCGACCTCCATTAAGACCTCCACCAATATTACCCACAATGCCACCAATAATATCACCAATGGTACGGATAAAATCATTACCATTGAACCCTCCAGTATTACCTGGATAACCAAGACCATAACCACCATTACCAACGTTACTGCCACCATTAATCGGATAACCGCCTCCGTAACCACCACCATTAATCAGATAACCGTTATTCGGATAAAAACCACCATTAGGATAACCACCATAATATCCACGACCATTATTCAGGTAATTGCGATTACCCGGATAAACACCGCCAAAGCCTCCGTAATCTCCATAGCTGACTTTATTTTCATTTATATTTTCAACATCTGCAAATACAATATTTTGTATAAATTTATTTAACTATACTCTGTGGGTTTTGACATTCATTCGTATTTCTAGATAACAAAGAAATCTCTAACAATAAAATCATATATATGACATTAATTTTTATATAGTTACAAATGTTGTTAAAAATTAAGAAAAATACTGTATAACTCACCCTTTTGGGTATTAGAGGAAGTTTCAGTGAAAACCCTAGCTGATACCTCTGAGGAGATATGAACAAGCCAAGCCAAAAGGCCTAGGATGTGAACTACTGTTGTTTTGGAATACATTTTAAATATCTAAGTAGAAAAATGGATCCAGTTACAAAATGTGGTAGTAAGCTATGAGAAAATTAGTAAGAAAGTGTGTTATTTATAATGAAGGGACGGAGTGATCAACACGGAATCTTTATTAGGAAGTTGGTATTTATTTAATTCAATTTTCTATCTTGATATACATTTTGAGTATAGTTGTTTTATTCATCTTGATATACATTTTAAGTAGTAGGATCGAAGACTGTGAAATACTGAAGCATAGGATTTATTGGCCGTCCTATGTTGACGTGCCATCTCATGCAAGTACTTAGATGCATACAAAATAATCCCCCACACTTTTTTAAGTGTAGTACAGGTGGCCCAGTCTAAACTGCTGATAGCGTACAGCTGTATATGGAACTTTTTTTCAATTTTATTCTTAAGATGTAGGTTTATATTTCAACAAATGTTACTTATGAGGATAAAATATGAAGAACAAAAATACTAGGAAAACATATTAAGAAAATGTTTGATGCCTAGAAAATGCAATACATAGATAGTAACATGCTCCCTAGTCATACAAACTTAAGAAAATGTTGTATACTAGAGTTTTGAGAAGATGCATGTTTTGTTAGAGTAATGTAACTTTCTTGCTCTTCAAGAAATAAGGAGAAAATAAAAAAGAGAATTTAGAGGTTTAAAGTGAGGATTGTATTCAATAATGCTTCATTATTCTGTAAATATGAGTTACATGAATTATACACGGCCATGCTACTAACTAATTTATTGTTGGTTAGTAATAAAAGACAAAGTCAGCAGTAATCACATATAGAACTAATAGTAATCACATAAAGAATCACTAGTAATGATAATATATAATTAGCACCACGTACACAAACCAATAGCAACCACATAGAAAATTAGTAGTAACCACATATGAAGTTAGTTGTAACTATCTAACCAACATATAATTAACTTCTAAGTAACCTAACATTTAATAATTAACTAGATGCTTTTTTAACTCAATTTTATAACAATCATTTAATACAGTATTACAAATAACACTTGTAACATCAGACGTGAAATGTGTTTTATCTCGGAGATAAATGTGACATAAATAAGATCGTCATAATAAGTAAAAATTTATCACTTTGGTCTTTAAAATACTGAAGTATAAGTTTATTAACGCATGAGTTCGAATCCCAACAATAATAATATTATTTTCAAAACTAACATTTCTTTTATCTCAGTTTATTAAATAACCTAGGGGAGTATGATTTCTTTTTTAATTTTTAAAATTGTTATATTTTTTACCCAAAATATTATATTGTTTGCCCAGAAAATTAAAATTAAAATAAAAATCAAATTTCCTAGGGATCTAGATAAAAATCAAATTCTCTCAAGATGTAGACTTTATATCTTCGAATTATTGAATATAGGTAAAGATCAAATATTGGATGCAATAATATTTTCTACGGATCTTGCATGCATTTGTTTCAAGTGAAAAAAATGGTAAGATAATTAATATCAATAATCATAAATATTTTCGGTACAAATAAATATTTAATAAAACAAACTTGAACCCAGATGATTTTCTACTCTTGCAATCCATCGTAGAGAACTTTTCCAAGCGTCCTTAGGTTTCAAGCGTTTCATATGTTTCATTTAGGTTAGATTTCATATATCGTAAGAGAACTTATATAATGTGTGTCTCTTAGGTTTCACGCGGATCACTAATGATAGATTCATGAGTTTTGATAACCTTTAAATGAACGACAAATATTTCTTTAAGGTCGTTGAAAAAAGTGTAAAATATCACTTAACTATCCTCTCGGTTTTGGAATAAAACCGAGGGGTTAGATTAATTTTTATTTATTTTTATAATAATGATATATTATTTACGATGAATATTAAAAATCCATTGTATGCAATAAATCTTCGCACAATATAAAATATACAGCATGTTCAGGTCCTACACAAGATGCTAGAGATATGTTTCACTGATATCCCTCTTCTGAAAAAGTTAAGCTCCATTCTTTCAAAGGTTGAACTTCTTTCTTTGTGTAAGTTGAAGAAAAAATGATTTTCAGCACTTGGAATCTATCAAATACAACAATATTTCTCCATAAAAGAAAATACAACACCATTTTGTGTATAGGGTAGAAAAATGTTTTGTGAATAATGATTCGAGTTGGGACGGCTACATATGAACATGGATTAGGGTAAAATCTAACAATTGCTTTTATAGTAAATTCTGACTACTATACCCCTCAGTTTAAAGTTTAAAACCGACATGGTAGTTATTATTATTTATTATTTTTGAACTATCACATCGGTTATTTTAAAAACCGAAGTGATAGTTATTATTTACTTTTTTTTCCCAAGTATTATATTGTTTACAAATAATATTAAAATAAATTATTTATAAAAAATCTTTTAAATGGTCTTTCTGCACTTGCAATCCATCATAACTTTACATCCAACATTTATTGTTGATGCCTGAATGTCAAAACTTTGAATTCAAGATTGATCATTGATGCTATCATTATATCTGCATTTATAAGCGTATATAATGTATATGTGTTGAATGCATCCAACTTCTAATATAGCATTAGGATGTAATATGTTCAACGAATGTTTTTGTAATAAAATCTGATTAATTTATTCATCAGGTTATAAAAAAACGGAAGGATTAGATAATTTATTTTACCCTTGTAAACAAATAAAAACGTGCAATAGTTAGGATTGAAAACATGTTGCAAAGGGTATAAGATAAAGTAGTAGGATAAACATATAAATAGTGATAATGTATTTATACATGATTTTACATAAAAATATAAATATTGTATAGCTGCAAGATTGAACGTAACAATAAATATTGTTGACATTATTTTATTCATGAAATTTTCTACTTAGAAGATGTATCTCAAAATCATATTATTATTAGTTATGAGTGTTGTCCTTAGTTTGCACAACAACTGCAGCACCACGACGACCTCCAAAAAGACCTCCACCAATATTACCCACAATATCACCAATTATACCACCAATAATACCTAGAAAATTATTACAATTGAACCCTCCAGTATTACCTGAATAACCAACACCATAACCACCATTACCAACGATATCACCACCATTAATTGGATAACTGCCTCCGTAACTACCACCACTAATCGGATAACCCGGATAAAAACCAGCATTAGAGTAACCACCATAATATCCACCACTATTATTCTAATAACCGCCATTATCCGGATAAACACCACTAAAGCCTCTGCAGTCTCCATTACCATAGCTGACTTTATTTTCATTTATATTTTTAACATCTGCAAATACAATATTTTGAAGAAATATTTATTAATTCTACTTTTTGGGTTTTGACATTCATTCATATTTCTAGACATTAAAATGGTTTTATTAATTTTAATAGTTACAAATGGTTTTAAAAATAAGAAAAATACTATATAACTCACTCTTTTTGGTATTAGAGGAAGTTTTAGTGAATACCCTCCCCGATACCTCCGATGAGATAAGAACAACCAAAGCCAAAAGGCCTAGGATGTAAATTATTGCTGTTTTCGAATGCATTTTAAATATCAAAGTAAAAAAATTGATTCAGTTGCAAAATGTGGTAGTAAACGATGAGAGTTAGTATGAAAGCATTGCAGTTATTTATTGGCCGTCCTATGTTTATGTGCCATCTCAAGCAGAAACTTAAATACATACCAAATAATCCCCACTCTTTTTTTAGTGTAATACAGGTGGCTCAGTCTAAGCTTTTGATAGAGTACACATGTATATGAAAGTTTACTAGAATTAATCCAATATTATTATTTTTCTTTCAATTTTATTCTTAAGCTGTAGGTTAATATTTCTAACAAATGTTTGATGCCAAGAAAATACAATACAGAGAGAGTAACATGCTCCCCGGTCAATAAAACTTATGAAGTAAAAAAATAATTTGGTAACATGTGCATGAGTTTTGAGAAGATAGATGTTTTTTTAGAGCAATAACTTTCTTGCTCTTCATGAAATAAGAGGAAGAGAAAATAAATAGAGAATTGAGATGATTAAAGGGAGGATTGTATTCAATTATGTTTGGTTATTCTATAAATTAGATCAAGATTTGCGTGATACGAGATTGTAAATTAGATTATTTATTTTTTATTGAATTATAAATATAGTAAGAGTTGGTTTCCACGAATTTATAATAGAGACAATAATATATTTATAAATATATTAAGAGTTGGTTTCCACAAACTGTAAATATGATTACTAACTTTATACTATCAATTTTTTTGTGAATTATAATAGAGACAATAATATAAATTAATTACATAAATAAATATATATTTAATTTGAAAAAAAATACATGCGTATAAATTGAGAGTGATATCCGTAATTTAGGTTTGCAAATTTACATTTGTTGGTTTTGATTCTCATGTTTTTTTCTTACACTTATCTTATAAATTAGATTAAAACTCGTGTGATGTCTGATGTCGGACTTTAAATTAGATTGTTCATTTTTTATTAAATTATAAATATATTAAGAGTTGGTTTCAACAAAATATGATTACTAACTTTATACTATAAACTTTTTTTTAATTATAATAGAGACAATAATATAAATTAATCACATAAACAAATATATATTTAAATTGAAAAGAAAATACACGTGTATAAATTGAGAGTGATATTCATAATTTAGATTTGCAAATTTATATATCTATAAAATAGTTTTTTTTTTATTATTTTGATTCGCATGTTTTTTTCTTACACTTATCTTGTATTTAGATTATTTACTTTAATTTGTTAAATATATTTATTTATTTTTAGGGTTATTATCAAATAAAACTAAAAGTGATTTTCAATAACTTTATAATATTTATGTCTATTTTGTCAAACTTTATAAGATTGTTGTGTACTATATCTTTTTTTAAGATCAACTTAAAGTGACTTATATTTGAAAATTGTATAAGAACTACTTTAAGATTAAAAACATTTATTTCAAGTGTTATTTTTATTGTTATATC